TAGATAGATAGATATAGATAGATGCAAACAGACAGACATTCTCACAGACAGACAGACAGACAGACAGACAGACAGACAGACAGATAGATAGATAGATAGATAGATAGATAGATAGATAGATAGATAGATAGATAGATAGATAGATCACCCAAGAAATATCACCTTAAAGTCTGTTTTTCTTTCTGTCTGTCCGTCTGCCTATTTATCGGTCTGTTTATCTTTCTGTGTTTCTTTCTTTCTATCTGTCGGTCTTACTGCATGTCTGTCTGTCTGTATGCAAGTTCGTCAGTCTGATTGCTTTCTTCTGTCTGTCTTTTTTTCTCTTTCCGTCTTTCTGTCTGTTTGCAAGTCAGTCAGTCTGAGACCAGTCTGACTGCCTGTGAGAATGTCTGTCTGTTTGCCTGTCCGTCTGTTTATCTTCTTGTCTCTCTGTCTGTCTGAGTCTAACAGCCTCCTAGTGAGACCGAATGCCTGTCCCCCCCCCCCCCTCTCTCTCCCTTTGCTCTTTTCTTTTTCTCAGAACATTCCCTTTCCCGGAACAGACGGGTGTTCTGTGAAAATAAAATTTTAATCTCTGGTTGGAAATATCCTGTTGTGTTCTTGCCGTGATTGATATTACTGTGACCCTTTTTTTGTCCTGTTATAGTCTCTGCTGTGTATCTTGTTCCTCTCGCTTTCGTTTCTTTTTTTCCGATGGACGTAACCCATTTAGTGCCATCCCACAGGCGTCTTTAAAAAAAAGTGTTTTATGGCGCTCGCAGTTGCATAAGGTCATATGAGCGTGCGAGACATATTAAACATTTTCAGTTGGTAGGAAATTTTGAAGCTTGCCCCGGTGGCGGCTGAAGCCTTCTTTTATCGATTTTAGACCACCAATGAATCTTTAACGTGCACAACTTGCACACAGGTCCCCCGAGATTGTCCGAGAAGGCTAGGTGTAGATCTTTCATACCATAAAGTCAGGGGTGCGGCTGAAAGACAGCAGTAGGAAGGAGCCAGGGAGTAGCAGTAGAAAGGCTGCAGAAAGAGTCAGGAGCCCAAAGGAGGGGGCAAAGGAGGTGAGAGGGGGGGGGGCGCAGAAAGTGGAGGCGAAAGCAGACGACAGAACATTGTTAGAGAGCAGGAAAGGAGGTGAAAGGAGCCAATTTTAGAGAGGGAAAAATGTCCGACGTTATCCGGATTCGAACCCGGGACCTATCGAATGAGAGGCGAACAACGTAACCTCTAGTCCACGAGTGTCCCCGCCGATGTCTGTGTCTCGGTGGTGGAGCTGTTAGTGCCAGACGCTTGCCGTCGCAAAAGACCTCAGCTCGGTTCCCCTGTTGGGGGAATTTTTGTCGAGTATTTCGTTCTTACCGCTGGGAAATTGTATTCCTCGTGGGTGGTTGGAGGGCGCCCACTGGTACGTCCTACATCTTTTCTTTCTCTCCTCCCCCCTCCTCTCTGTGTGTGTCTCTCTCCCTGTCTGTCTGTCTGTCTGTCTGTCTGTCTGTCTGTCTGTCTGTCTGTCTGTCTGTCTGTCTGTCTGTTTGTCTGTCTCTCTCTCTCTCTCTCTCTCTCTCTCTATCTCTGTCTGTCTGCCCAGTCACTCAGTGCACAGATGGCTGGCAACAAAAGCACAGTTGGGATGTAGTAATCAGTATGAATAGCTCCGCAAATGTATGCGCTTCTGTCATTGCAATAATCCGTCGTCGAGTCGAGGAAATGGGAGATTTATTTGTCAGTTCTAAAGGATGAATGTCAGGGGAATCGCAATGGTGATGATACATGGTAGCTGTTATATTCTTTTTTTTCTCTTTAAAAAAAATTTTTTAATGGTTCATAGCCGTGCTTTGAAACTTATGGTGGGAACTTCCAGTGGAATGCCATTATGAGCTGTCCACTGGACTTATATGACCTTATTGTGTTGCAAGTGCCGTAAAACCCGTACTAAAACTAAAACTTTTATGTTGTTGTGGATCAGGCATTCCGATTTACCAGGACAACATAGTGGGAACGTATCTAACTCCACCATAACCGGGCACAGTGTACCACAGCCTGATGCCCGCCAACGATAAAATTTTCCTGTAAAAATTTAGTGAAAACTATGTTGTTTCCTGACAATATCAAACTTGGAACTACCCCCCGGGGCAGTGCCACTGACTGTAGTGTCTTTAGACCCCCCCCCCAGGGCAGTGCCACTGACTGAAGTGTCTTTAGGCCATTCCCAAAGGGGGGACATATCTCGTTCAAGCATAGTAGAATTGTAAATGGGCTGACTCATGTCACGCTCATAACTGTGCCTGATCTACAACAGGGAACTGCTGCTTTTTCTTTCCTAATCCTTACTTTACTTTACTTTACTTTTCCGATCCAGCGGCCATTTGGGTTCTAGCCCTTCGGTCTGTCAATATGGCAAAGAAGAGATCCTTACTATTGTCATTTTCCTCTACTTCTTTTGTATGTCTGTCACTCCATTGTGACCTGTTATTTTGGGGTGCCTTGATAGTCGAAGCAGACCTTGTGCTGTTGAAGCTGGAGAGGTGAGCAGTCTAAGTCTGATTCCCTGTAAAGACTTCTCTGTTGACACTCACCCCTTGGCGCTCATATGACCTTATGCAGTTGCGAACGCCGTAAAAACCTCTACTATAAAAAGAAAGAAAAAAAAAAATTGGAACTAGCATTATTTCTGAAAAAATATACTGACCTGCAAGTGGCTTTTTATCTTGCCAGATTCTGAAGATCACAAAAACATAATAAGTATTTTTACCATGATTTCCTCAGGTGTTATTTTCTTACAACACAAAGAGGACGGACAATTGTCTGCTTTAACGGAACATGTAATGGGCTCTTTAACACTTTGCAGTCACACAGCCAGCAGTACAAAATACCGCGTCTAGTCACCCAGCCCGGCGAGTGACTGCAATGGACTTCTCGGGGGACCAAAACGGATAATTTTCACTGTCACGTTATTGCGCCAAGTGACCGCAAAGTGTTAATCGTGTTGGAATATCTTTGTACTTGAAAGTCGAAGAAGAGTTTGTAAAGCGCGTAGAGCTTGCTGTAGAGAAGGAATTTGCGATATACAAATGCTTACTATTAGTAGTATTATATTATATTATTAGTAGTAGTAATATTACTAGTGGGTGGTTGGCGGGTGCTCTGGTGTGGTTTGCTTCTTCTTTCCTATCAAACATCTATCGTCCTTATCTCCCCTTCATCTTTTTTATGTTTTTGTTACTCTCTTGTAACAGTTCTAATCTTCTGGCGCTCGTATGACCTTATGCAGGTGCGAGCGCCGAAAAACTCCTACTAAACTATAAAAAAAAATATCAGTGAGTTATAGATTCCTTTTTTTATCTCTTGTTTTCCGTGCAGTTCCCATTTGCTTCTTCTTTTTTCCCTCTTGATACTTGTGTTGTGAAATAACCCCTGACATTTAGAAAGCAAACCTGTTTCCCTGCACATTGCACTCACTCATTTGTTGCTCGACAGCTCATTTTCCGTAACTTTATTGCTCGGTTGTGTTAAGTGTTGTTGAATTGGATGTTTCAGAACAGCGGAACAAAAGTGCAAACAGCAGTAGGTTTGCTATTTTCACTTTTAGACTTTCTTTTTCCTCTTTTTTTGCTTGTTCATTTCATTATTACATTTTGAGGCTGACTTTTCTTGGAGGGTAATATTTTCAGTGGTGCTGTTTTCAGATGCTTTTGCTATCTGAACTTTGAAAGCTGCCAATGCTCAATTATGCTTCTTAGTAGAAAGTTGGGGTTATTTAATATTTTAGATTCTGAGGAATTTTTTTGTTGAACAACTGTCTGTTTGTTCGGAGGGTTTGATTCCTTGCAGCAGTTTCCTTTTTTGTTCTCTTTTTCTTTCTTTTTTTTTTCTGAACCTTGTGCTACCCCAAATCTTTTGACTGATCCTGTACGTATACTTTTCTTCCCTTTCTTGTATTTTAACCAATGTATGTTACCAAAAGACTAAAAAGTCCAACTTGTAACCTGTGGGAGCATGTACATGAATGTCATTCTGATCGGTCAATGAATTTGGGAGATCCCTTATCCTTTAACACTTTGCCATCATATTTTGTGGACAATCCAAAGAAACTGGGTGGTAATCATCGCCAATCGGCGAGATGAGGCGACAAAGAGTTAACTGACTTCTTTTGGCTTCATTTTCATTTCCTTGATAATTAATTTTCTGTCCTCTCTTATTTCATTGTATCTCATTTTATCTGTTTCTTGTTCACATTTTCTTTTAAGACTTTGATTAGATTTTTAATAATTGTTCCTGTTCCCATCATTTAAAACTGTCCAGTTCCGAATGATGGTCAAGTTTGTCACCCTTTTTGTGCCAAAGTATGGATTGCTGGGAAAATGTTTTCTATTGTAGTGTATGTATTGTTCTAGAGTAAGTTTTATTTAAGTTTAGAACGAATATTGATAAAGCCAGACTAGTGTTAGTCCCTTATGGAGAAGATGAAGACCACGGATCTTGAACAATTGAGACATGAAGGTAAATACCCACAGCAGGGTTTTCGATTCTTAATGTTATAATGTAATGATGGCATGGCATGAGGAGATTTCAAAAAGATTTGCATTTTGTATTTCTGTTTTGTATTCTTTTCGGCATTACTTGAGAAAGGTTAAGATAATTTCTTGTATGAAGTTCAGTTTGGTTGAAAAGAAATAAAAGTGTTAATGACAACCTGGATTTAATGTCTGTTCAATTTTAGAAAACAAATAAGGTTTTTGTATCTTTAAGGTGCAGTTTATGAAACAGATTTAGACTTCATGGTTTGAAGACTTTTTATAATGCGTATTATAATGTGAAGTAACATACAATATAATTTTCCTTCTAGAACACTTTGCCATCACAAGGCTCATATACATAGTAAAAACTCTTGCCATCAAAGGCAAAGGTATTCTGAGGAAAATCCAAAAAAACTGGGTGGTAAACATTGCCGATCTGCGAGATGTGACGGCGAAGTGTTAAGTGAATTTGTCAGCTCTTGAATGTGAACATTGAGGTATCTTTTTTGATAATGTGTGGTTGGGTGGGGTTTTTTCCCAGTGTTGTAACTTGTAAGCAAATGTCTACCTTTGTAACCTTTCTTTTTTTTTGCTCCCCCATTTGCAGCCACGAGCAATGTCCCCCTGTCAGGATCTGGGAACTCGGCTTCCAACGCCAGCGGGGGGAACAGCCCCAACGGAGACTTTGTCCCCAAGTCCATGAGTCTATCAGCTCAGAGCAAAATCGAGAGCATCCGGGAGTGGAGCGTGAACACCTTCAAGACGACCAAACAGTTCATCTCGGAGCGGTTCGGCAAAGGTTCCCGCACCGTCGACTTGGAGATGGAGGCGAGCATCGAGTCTCTCCGCGACACCCAGAAGAAATATGCAAACATCCTGCGGCTGGCCCGCGCCATGGCCTCGCACTTCTCCAACGTGGTGCACACGCAGCGCGCGCTGGGCGAGAGCTTCTCCGAGCTGGCCCAGAAGTCGCCCGAGCTGCAGGAGGAGTTTGTCTACAACTGCGAGACGCAGAGGACGCTGGTCAAGAACGGGGAGATTCTGCTGGGTGAGTGAGTGGGTGAGTGAATGGGTGAGTGGGTTGGTTAGTGAATGGGTGAGTGAGTGGGTCGGTTAGTGAATGGGTGAGTGAGTTATTGAGTCAGTTAGTGAGCGAGTGAGTCGGTTAGTGAATGGGTGAGTTATTGATTCAGTAAGTGAGTGAGTGAGTCAGTGGCGACAGTGAATGTGGGACTCCCAGAAAAAAGAATGGAAATAATGGTGTAATTAGTAGATTTGATCTGTTTTGAGAATTCTGCTTCAGTTAATTAGTATCATGATCAAGCAGGTAAGTGTCCACATTGGGTATGAGAATACTCGTTGTAAGGAATGATTATATATGATCAACCAACGTTGCAGTTTTTTTGTGTGTTTTTTGTAAATACAATTATTGTTTTGTTTTTCAGGCGCTTTGAATTTTTTCATCTCATCTGTAAACACGTTGTGTCATAAAACGATGGAAGATTCCCTGTTGACCGTGAGGCAGTATGAAAGTGCCAGGTAAGTTTTCAGTGAGCTCAAGAGGAAGGTTTTCTGCTGCTCACCTGAGGAGTTTCTGTTTCTGTTTCTGGCTGTTTTCCCTTTTTTTATTTCCTAAAGGAGTAGCCACTGGGGCTCTCGTGGCCTAGAGTTTCTCTAAAATTGTCTCCTTTCACCTCCTTTCCCGCTCTCTAGCGATGTTCTGTCATCTGCTTTTTTCTCCTCTTTCTGCCCCCACCCCCTCCTCTGGGCTCCTAACTCTTTCTGCAGCTTTTCTACTGCTACTCCTTGGCTCCTTACTGCTGTCTTTCAGCCACACCCCTGATCTTCTGGTAGGAAAGATCTACACCTAGCCTTCTTGGACAAGGGCGGAGGTCTCGTGTACAAGTTGCACACGTTAAAGATCCCTTGGTGTTCTAAAATCTATAAGAGTTGTCTTCAGCCGCCACCCGAGCAAAATTCAAAATTTCCTACTAACTGCAAATGTTTACTGTGTCCCGCGTCTCATATGACCTTATGCAGTTGCGAGTGCCGTAAAACGCTTACCAAAATAAATAAAAAAGCAGCGGCCAAAGTATCTGCAAACTGATATTGTTCTTGTTCCAGTATACCCGTACTAGAGCTCAGAGGGATACCGACTGTAGGATCTGCGTCTCACGGTGCAGTCACTTGTTATGTCTAAGGCTATTTCATGTGAGTAGAGCTCAGAATGACCCAAGCCGCGCTCCCCCCCCCCCCCCGGGCAGTGTCTTTAACCCTATCCGTACGTCGTGTTTTACTATCGTATCCATACGGTGTGGGGAACACTGTGCCACCACTTAACCCTATCTGTATGTCGTGTTTTACTAACGTATCCATACGACGTTGGGAACTCTGTGCCACCACTTTCAAAGAGGAAATTTACTCGTTAATCCGATACGTACGCTTAGCATAGAAGTCTGTCAAAATGATTTTTTGAGAAATACTGTCTTCAATATTATGTTAGCAGTCCAGTATTTTCTTATTTCACCATTTGACATAATATTTTTTTTAAACTTATTTTTCTATCAAATATCAGATTGGAATACGACGCTTACAGAGTGGACTTTGAGACCGTTCAGAGCGGCCCGCGGGAAGCAGCTACGCAAGCCAGACTGCAAGACTCTCAGAAGAAGTTTGCCGACCACAAGCAGAAGTTTGAACGGCTGAGGGGAGATGTCCAGATCAAGCTCAAGTTTTTGGAAGAAAACAAAGTGAGGAGGACTTTTTTTTTTACGTAAACCAACAGTTACCAGATACTTTAATCATCAAAATCTTTTTCTTTTTTGTTTAGGGAATTTATTTTTGGGGGAAAAAAGTTGGTGCCTCGTAGTGTTCCAAAATCAAGGTTGCTCGCAGCCAACCAGGTAACCACTGGAAGAAATCATATCATTAGAAAGTAAATGGGTTCGGAGTCGACTCCTACCATTCCTAGCTTTCAATATTCGGGATCCCAGCCGACCTGCCCTACAAAAAGATGTAAAAGATGACCGTTGCGACAATGTCTCTTCTCCCCCCCTCTCACACACACACACACACACATTCTCACTCACAAAAAGATGTAAAAGATGACCGTTGCCACAATGTCTCTTCTCCCCCCCTCACACACCCACACACACACACACTCTCACAGCGCTCATATGACCTTAGCAGTTGCGAGCGCCGTAAAACCCTACACTACTAAACAAACTAACACTCTCACTCACAAAAAGATGACCGTTTCCACAATGTCTCTCTCTCAAAAAGATGACCATTTCCCCAATGCCTCTTCTTTCCCTCCCCTCCTCCCCACTGTCCAGGTGAAGGTGATGCATAAGCAGCTGCTCCTGTTCCACAACGCCATCTCGGCGTACTTCAGCGGCAACGCCACGGCCCTCGAGGCCACACTCAAGCAGTTCAACATCCAGCTCAAGCGGCCCAACGCCGAGAAACCGTCGTGGATCGAGTCGTGAATGGAAGCGCCGGCCGACCGTGGAAACTGCTTTTCTATATTCTATATTTGTTTCTTTTCCTCTGGGAGTCAGGGCTTAAATTTGACCCATATAGATAGATATATATAGTATGTGGATACGCCTTCTTTCCCCGTCTGAAATTTTCTTTTATGGAGCGTGTGAACTGTTACTTTCACTGTTGAAGATTATTTTTTTATTTTGTTTCCGCGGTCTGCCATAGTTGTTACATTAGAGCAAATATTTTTTTTCAAAGGGGGGGGACTTCAAAAGAATATATAGAAAAAGACCCAGAAAAGTTTCATAAAATGAAGATGGAATACAGCTTTGTTAATTTGAAGCGTCTTGGAAGTGGAGATTTTGTTTTCAAATGACTGTTTTTTGTCATATTGCGTGAACCGTTTTCTGCTAACCTTTTGGGATGCCGCTCACATGACCTTATGCAGTTGCGAACACTGTAAAACCTTACTAAAAGCTGAAACTAACCTTTTGGTATAAATTCCGATGCTCTGAACTGGAAAGTTTTGAAGATGGCGGTGGATTATTTTTATAAGGGAAAGATTAGTTTGGTATGTGTCATTCTTTTTCACTGACAGTGAACACAAAGTCTGTAACATGGCAAGTATATGCTGTACCTTTGATAGCCTCAATGAAAGAAATTTAGTTCTTGGGTTGGCAGTTTTCTTATGACTTACTTTCCAAAACATTTGTTTTTCTCTCTCTCTGTCTGTCTGTCTCTCTCTCTCTCTCTCTCTCTCTCCCTCTCTCTCTCTCTCTCTCTCCTCTCTCTCTCTCTCTCTCTCTCTCTCTCTCTCTCGTTAAATTTAAGTCCTGATTCTCTCTCATCCGTTTCTTAGAATTCTTTCTCATACTTGTGTGTGTATGCAATACCAACCGTCGGGTGCTCGGCTGATGAAGTCGAGAAAATTTTGTGGAGCACGTCTCTCCCAATAGTTGGACACTTGGTGGACAACGTGTGAGTGAAGTTGAGCAAAAAAAGGTTTGTCTGTGCGAGGTAAATATCTCATTTTGTACATTATCATATTTTCCCCGAAAGTGGAAGAGGAGGTGATGGTGCAGATCAGAGATGTTTTGCTTTTTTTTTTTTTTTGTAAGACGTCTCTGAATATGCCAGTGTTTTTCACACTATCAAAAGAGACGGAGCTGAAGAGTGAGGCTGAGAGATGATGCATTTTTTTCTTTTCCTCTCTATATTATGTGTATGCAAAATTATTTTTGTCTGTGAAGCGAGTTTTGGAGGATTTTTTCCTTTCAAGCTAGCAATCTGTTTATTTTTCTCTGTGTTGGTGTTGCCGGGGCTGGTGTGTGTGAAGGTTTGAGAGGAGAAAATGTCGCGTGAGAAACCACAGATAGCATTTAGAGTTTGGAGAACGGGAGGAGCCTTTATGGTTGCGGATTTTGAGGAGATCTTGATGAAATGTGGCCGACAATCTATGAAAAGGAGACGGTGCTCTCAGACCCAGCACCCGAAGCTTGAAGAGGTTCTAGTTTAGAAGTACTCAAAGTCTGATTGGCACTTTAATAATTTATTTCATGTTTATCCAATTTTTTCAATGTTTGCCTGTTTCTCACACCGAGTTCCTCTAGACGATGCCAAGGCCGAGTTGCCTGCTATCCTTCATTCCAAGCTCGTTTTTAACTCAGTAGTGGGCCTGAGATGAAGCCAATCTTTTCCTTTCAGAATTGCTTGAACTTGGTCGTATTGTGTTGGTGAGTCAGGTGGAAGTGAGAACAGTTCCTGGCAGAATAGTGAAGTGACAGTGTCAATACAAATGGAAGAGAGATCTAAGTATGGAATATGGCTGAAAGAATTTCCTGTCGTCAGAATTTTTTACTTTGATACGACATTGTTGTAGTGAACCATTCTCCAACTTGCGGATGTGTCTTGAGAAAATGTGTCCAGTCTCCTTCCTCTTGATTGAAAGCGAAAAACAATTGTGAAGCGTGCTGACAAAATGAGTTACTTCTCGGATTCAAGCCTTAAGGAAATAGATAGCATACATCACGCTTATATGTGAAGTTTTCCAAATCCATAAGTGTGACAGGATAAAAGACAGGCTATAGTTAAAGAATCTGGCATCAATAGAAAATCTACCAGTTTGATCCTAATGTCGATTTTTGGCCGATTTTATATATCCGTTTGTGGATTGCAAGATGTAACTCATTTTGTCAGCACGCCTCACAGTTCTATCCTCGGCTTGTTATGGAGGTTCGACAGCGTGTGACTGGTTCATTCAATGAATTGTACGTCAAATTGTTCGGGGATTTCAATGTGGTTTTCTACTCATTCTGGTTATGGTCTCAATTATCCCTCCCCCCGCCCCCCTCTCCCCGAAACCACCCCCCAATGGACTACTGTTTTTGTAGTCTTCATGTGTTGGGACCACCTTGTGTGTGTATATATATCTGTTATATCTAAATGCTTTTCTTCTTTGTATGAAGTGTTCCATTCAAATTAGTCATGATTCCTATGGAAACGATTTGCTTCTTTGTATGTGTTAATTTGTGTTACATTGTTGTTGTTGGGGGGGTTGTGGGTTTTGATTTTCTTTTATCCTTTCTTCTTCTTCTTCTTTTTTTTTGTTGTAAATTTTTGTTTGTTTTTTTTGTATTAGTACCAACTTTTGTTTGACAAACATGGGATGCATTTCTGTATGAAGCCGCTCCAACAAGTGGAAGCTCACATCACGTGTAGTTTTGTGGTTTGCCTCTCTTGTTGCTTGTTGGCAGATGTCCCCTGGCTGACCTGTCGGCTGTCCCTCTTGTTCTAGCCAGGCTTAGTTCTTAGGCGGAGGGCTGGACTTCGGATTTAGTAGAATGAATAGACAAAAAAAAACATAAATAAAAATAAGAACAACCAACTACGCACTCAGCAAAATCTGTGGTGTACGTATAAATTCAAAATCATGTCAGTGCTTGTCATCTCCTGCTTAGGACCTACAGAGCATTTTCTCAAAAATCGTCCAAACACGTTGAAACAAAGCGGAAAACTTCAGCCTTTTGGACCGTTACCTTCGTGGTGTGGTTGTGATTTCCATCTGCACAGCAGTTTTCCTCTGCATCCTTTGGTTTGTTGTGAACGGTGATCTTTTTTGGAAGATGGGGTGTGGGGTCGTTTTGTGCGTGAGGTATTAAGTTTTGTTTCCGTACGTCATGGTTGCTATTTTCTTTGCATGAAAGAACTTTCCATGAAACGGGATGTCTTCAAGACAAAAGTGGCAGGCTGCATGCTTCAGAGACTTGAGAGAGAATGTGCATCAAGTGGCAGATTTTTTTTGCCGAAAGAGTGTGTGTCTGCTTGTGTGTTTGTGTATGAGAGAGAGCCTGTGTTTGTGTGCAGCATGTGTGTGTGTGTGTGTGTGTGTGACAGAGCATATGTGTGTTCATGCGTGCGTGTGTAATCTTGGACAAAGAATGTGGACTCTTGGGAGGCTGACTTTGTACAGAGAAAATTCTCTTGCTGAGACGATGTTTTTTTTCAACTCTTTCTACTTTTCCAAACAGTCATACACTCTCTCTCCCAGCATACTATCGTTTCACCGTACGTCATACACTCTCTCTCTCTCTCTCCGCCCTGTCGTTTCACCGTACATATCTCAAGTCATAGGTTGTGCTGGATTAGTTTGACGACGGATATTTCATGTAAAGTTGCAACTCTTTCTTTCTTCGTGCGAAAGAAATTGTTTCCTTTTTGTGTTGTGTTTCTTTGCAAAATCTCTCAGTCCGTTTCAGGTTTCAGATACAATTAATAAGATTTTTGTTGGTGATTGAAAAAGTGATTTGGAATGAATATATCCCTCAACCATTCATGAGGGATTGAGCGTAATTTGCTGGTTTTTGTGGTGCTTTTTTTCTCATTAAGAGTGACGAAGGTTTGACATTTTGTTTTCATATAGTTTTTCATTCGTTGCTTCTTTTAACTAAGAGTAGTGAACGTTTGTCAGTTTTGTGTAATGCTGAAAGAATTGTGTTTGTAGAGCAAATGCCCAGCTTTAAGCAGTTTTAAGCAATATGATTATATTTATTTGAAAAATGTCAGTGTTTACTTTTTATTGACTGAAAAAAATTTGAGAAATTATCATAAAATAATCTTTCACGTATATTTATTTTCGTATATATGTATTCGAGAAATATCTTATGCTTTTTGCTGTTTTTTTATTCGCTTTCTGTTATTTTGTTGGGGTTAAACTGACAAACTGTGCTGTTCCTATTCTTCTTCTGGAGAAATGAAAGAGAGCTTCAAAACAAAGACTCAGGGCCGTCTGAACCAATGCGCGGACTTCCGCTGGCACTTTTTTTGGCCGAGTGAACTATCTTGTTGTGAACGATCGTTGGCACTAATTATAAGCAGTTGATTATTATAATGATATTCAGTGATTGGTTTACTGGCCTGCAACCTCCTCCGTTTTTCTGTAGAAAGCTTCTGGTCTTCCGTGGTCATTGTTATATTGGGTTGTACAATAAGGTTCAGGATTATCATGTTGTGATGGGGTCTGCTCCCTTTTTCTTTCGATGTGTCTCATGAATTTTGTTTTTCTTCCGTTGGATGCGAAGAACACAATACAGTAAAATCCCAGGTTAGCATAGCCTTGGGTTTGTTTTTTTTTTAACTCAAAATATGTGCTCGGTGTAGCTTTTTATTTGAGAGAGCCTGCTTTTGGGCTTGAAAAACAAAACAATAGATGATGTGGCTGAGTGTTTGTGGTAGGGGAAATACTACGAGACCTCAGTGCTTTCTTGTCGTATCTCTTTTTTTTTTTTACAGTGAAAATGTGACTTCTTCTTAAGTTCACTCTTTGTTATGAACTGTTTTCACTGTTATTACATATGGAGATGGGACAAGAAAGCACTGAGGTCTCGACTAGCTGCTGAGGTTTTACTGTAATTTGTCGTCTTCGGTTCTGTAGGTGTACATAGCTATGTGACTCATGCTTCTAGATCTTGTTTTTTAGTGTTGTGATGCTCTTCAGTTCAGTTTGTCCCCAATGTGTGCATTTTCTCGGTAGCTGGCAGGTGCCACTAACTGGGATCAGGATGTTTTTAGTCATCGTTATTGTGGAAAGCATTGCTTTTTTTTTCTGTCTTCAAAGACTCCCCCCAACCAATTTTTGTTCCACCCCCCCCCCCCCCCCCCCCCCCCCCTTGATATTGATAGTGGAAGCAGACTTTGTGCTGTTGAAGCTAGAGAGGTGAGCAGAGTAAATCTGATTCCCTGTACAGACTTCTCTGTTGACGTCCACCCCTTGGCGCTCATATGACCTTATGCAGTTGCGAGCGTCGTAAAAACTCCACTCAAACTAAAATCTTCACACTGATTTAGTTATTTATAATAGTATATGGCATTTATAGCTCTCAGCCCTGGTGAAAGTACACAGGTTCCCAGCACTTTGCAGTACAATAGTAGGAAACATTTCTAGTACAACAGTAACATATAAACAGTAGGCTACATTTCCAGTCAGAGAGCGGATTCCTAGCCATGGCTGTAATAGGAATGTGCATCTCTTAACCGACACTCAAATGTTTCAGAACTTGGTTTGAAAGTCAGCTCTAGGATTTTCTGCCTGTGGCAATGCGTCCTATATTTCCTATCCTTGCATTTCAGAGAGTTCAGTATTATTTTCAGGGTCGGTACCTGTTCACAGCAGCATGTCTGTGTTCTTTTTGTTGTTGTTGTTGTTGGTTTTGTAATTAAAGAGGAGGAGGAAAAGCATCACAGCAAAAAGAGATCATGCACTCAGTTCTTTGAGTTGCCCAGATGGTTGGGTATACTGGTCCAGTTGTTTGTGTAGGACGTTTGTTGTTTTCACGGTCTCGAGTCTTGTTTCACCGGTTGTGATTCCCCCCCCTTTGATTACCGGAGCCGAGCTTTAAGTGGGAATATCCGTCGCTGTACGTTTTCTCTCATGTTCTGCTGGTTGTGACTTCCATTTGATCCAGCCCAGTAGGAAACAGTTCCTCTAGTTCTACCAATATGTTTGTCCACCCAATGTGGTAGTGATGTACGGTAATGTTTTACCATCAAGCCTGAGTTTGCTTCCAAAATGTTTTGTTCTGTTCTTTGCAGGCCCCTGTTAAAGAAGTGGGATCTCTGGTAAGCTCTCATTTACTGGGGCGTGCTCTCATTTCCTGGAGCAAGAGAAAAGGAAGATCTGATTCATGTATACAGGCCTAGGCCCAGTTGTGGCGCACAGAGTTCTCCGAGGGAAGGGAATGAGAAGAAGGGTTTGATGATGAATTAACGGTCTCAACGTTTAAAACGAATATCTTCAACCCTTTTTGAAAAATGAATTAAAGCGGCACAAAAAATGATAGATAAATAAACAGAGAAACTGGGCTATTTTTGTCAGTATGAACGGCTGTAGATTCACTGCCATTTTTGCAGCAAGGCAAATTAATTTCTTTAAAATTGCACTGCTATCCACTTTTTTGTTTTTCAAACCACATTTTTTATAGTTGATTCTTGCCAGAGGTATTGAAAAAATATTTTCTTTGGTTGTTTTTGTTGTTTTTTTCTCCTTTGTGTTTGTGGATGTGTCTGTGTGTGTGTGCAGAGTTTATGCGAATGATCATCGGTTTGCTGTCACCTGATCTTCTTGTCAGCTTGTCGTCATGTTTTTTTATAATTTAGAATAACACGACAGACAGGTACTTGTTTTCTTTGTTCACCTCGGTTGTCTTCTGCTCCTCCTGTTTTTAAGATGTCACACGCGCCACACATCTCTCATTTGTCTTGATCAGCTGAGTTGTCCTTGTTTGTATGCTTGATCCTGGACATGTGTGAGGGGTGCGGACAAAACGAGTTACTTGTCGGACTTTAGGTCTATGGAAATTTATACATCAACTTTATAGGTGGAGTTTGTGCAATTTGTAAGTACGGAATAATGAAAGACACGAGACTTGATCAAAACGGCATCAATTTAAAATGTGTAAATCTAACCCCAGTGTCGATTTTTGGCCAATATCTCCGTTCTCGGACTGCGAGAAGTCACTCGTTTTGTCAGCACGCCTCACGTACAAGGACTATTTCGAGGCCAACGATTTGTATATATGTCTCCTATGAATCGTCAAAGAGTGCAATTCTTCAATGGGCTGCCACATGGTTTGCTCCGTTCCTTCCTGACCCATGTTTCACCGTGTTACATCTTTGGGAATGTTCACTTTTCCAATGCTTATCATTTATTTATTGATCATGTCCCTTAGAGTTCATTTGGGTAAATATATTATATTAGTAAATATATAATATTTTTATATTTGTAAATGCTGTGGTAATGATTTTTGTTTTCTCCGAATCTCGCAATATTAACCGAAAAAATTTATGTTGAGTCTGCCTTTTTGCATCCATCTTTTTTCTGTGATTTTCTTTCCTTAGGTTGGAATGCTGTGAGTGAACTCGAGTCACTGACTGATTTAGTTTGTTTGGTTTGCTTTCCTTTCTTCTTGTATTTTGTGCTTTTTGAAAGGTTTCATGACCAACAAGTGGAGATGTTGTTGATAACGATCCAGTAGCATCTGATGAGCGTTAACTCTTCTGCATGATGCCATTCTGTAATAGCTGCATGTCTGTTGAGTGGAGATGAGTTGGTATAGTTTCCTAACCACTTTATTTGATTGGGTGTAAAGCTTGGAAGAAATAAGGTGAAATCTTTCAACATTCTCCGCTGTTGGTCACTGCACAGTGGAATGTCTGTTCATTCAGCGTTTGGATCAGGGGAATTGCTGGAGACTGACAGCTACTTTATGTAGTTGCGAACGCCGTAATACCTCTACTATAAAACTAAAAAAGACTGACAGTTTCCTTTGTGAGTATTGTGACGTTACAAGTTGAGGTCAAACTCCAGCAACGAGGGGGGGGGGGAGGGTGTCACTCTTCTATGCTGGACTGGGAAGTGGAAAATACAGGTGTA